GGTTTTGTACAGTTTTTGAGAAAAACCATTTATATGAAATGGTTTGCTGTTGGATGGAAATAGGCAGCCCATTTAGTAGCCACTTTCCAGCGTGAATGGGTCAATTGTAATGCATATTAGCATGTGTCAGTGGAGGGGGCTGCGTACCATGCTTGCAAAACAAAGACCGGCACAAAGACGCCTGCCCTCACGGACAGGATGTTCTCTGCAGCTCCATATCTCTCTGCAGTGCCACATGAGAATGAGAATGCACACAGATCCATGCATGTGCCCGGCTGTACTGAAGGTTGACATGTCTCTGCAGTCAACTCAGTATTTTTTGACACATGAGTAGTGCGAGCAGAGGTGGATATGTGAAAGCTACAGATTCATTTTTCAAGATTTGAAAATGGGTGTGACGTGTTTTTTATTATGTTGTTTTGAGGGTCCTTTTTGCCTTTAGACTAAGCAGAGTCACCAGAATAGAAAAGGCTCAAAACTTTCCCACAGGAATAATAAAACATTTTCATTATAACTTATTTTCATTAGTTTACTGCACCTAACTGGTACATTTGAATGTTTCACTCCATGTTATTATTAGCTGCATTTCATTTATACATACGTGTAATTAGCTTCAATTAGGCTGTTTGTTTAATTCCAAAAATTTATACCAGCCATAAACTTTTATCTTTTATCGTCATGGCGCAAAATGCAATGTTGGCACCTTAAAGGGTTTTTTGTTTGTTTGTTTTGTTTTTACCGTCAACGTTCTCCCTGTCGCTGATGTGCTGCAGGTTGCATCCCGTCTCCTCCCTACTCATATCCGACTCCTGGTGGTACGACTCCAGCCTCGAGTGGGCATTTCTGCGGAGCTTGGGGCTCCCAGACACGCAGCAAGAGGTCGTGCTCCCCATCTTTACCCGTTCACTGCGCGTACAGGCAGGAGCTGTGCATATAATCTATCCTTTCCGTTTGAAACGGAAGCTGAAACGACCCCACCGAGCCGGTGAGCGTAGATCACGAGAGCGCACTTGAAGCATCCATCGTAGCGCCCACAGATGCTGTCAGTCTTTGGTGTCCACGGTGAGGCTGTCACGGGAGATAAAGATGACACTTCTCTAGAAGCCAGAGTAAATAACGGGCCGACCTACCACCGCTACCACAGGAATAGTACAACCCGGTGTATCCCGTGCAGCACCGCTGATGATGTGAGCGACGACGGGCGCACGGTGATGTGTGGATCGGTGTTGAGGCTGGCTGTCAGCGCGATACAGCGACGGGGAGGGTGTAAATCCCGAGAAAAGGTTCCGGTTCAAGTGGGTGGATACAAATGAGACAGCAAAGAGAGAG